CCATTGTCTCATCATGGTGTGTGATGGTCATTTTTTGGTGACTTACGAAAACAGGAAAAATACAGATGGGTCTGGTTTTATCCATTCAGCCGCTCTATGTCTTTTAATTGGAGAATGCCTTAAAGTGCTGTTGAAATATGAGCTATAAAGTGCACACAGATGCCGGTTCTAATTAAGACTCAACAGCAAACATGTTTCCCTTGTTTTCAGGTTACACGTCCAGGGGCTCCCCTCTCAGTCCCCAGTCATCCATAGACAGTGAGCTGAGTACTTCAGAACTGGAGGACGATTCCATCTCCATGGGCTATAAGTTACAGGATCTCACTGATGTTCAGATCATGGCTCGTCTGCAGGAAGAAAGTAAGTTCCTCTTTTTAAACTAGAAAACTTTATATAAACTGGAGGCTCCTACTGGAAATACAAGGGGATGGGGAGGTTTCTGGCATTGCTCCCCGGGTAATGGGCAGACAGTTGTGTTCTGTCTCTCACGCTGCCCTACCATGTGGGTAGAGCAGTTAGTTAGATGCCTCTCGCACTCTCATGACCACGGTACAGTATTAGGACATCCTCTGGCCAGAACACATTAATGTAAAGAACACAAACTGTGGAAGCAGTTTGCCAGTTTTTGGAAGAACTAGATACGCAGTTTCCATAAGACCTAGCACACTGCACTCTTGGGCATTTATCCCAGCACAGTGGAAACTTGTGTTCAAAAACACAAAGACCTCTACGTGAATGTTCGTAGCAGCTTTATCTGTAACAGCCAAAAGCCGGAATGAGCTCAGATGTCCTTCCGTGGTGAGTAGTCAGTCAAGCTGGGGTCCCTCCGTACCGTGGAGTACCACTCAGCAAGGGAAAGGAATGAATTTTGATAGACGCAGAATCTTGGATGAATCTCCAGGGAATTGTGCTGAATGGAAAAAGATGATCCCAGGAGATTGCATACTGTATAATTCCACTTGTATACCATTTTGGAATGACAAAATTTTAGAAATGGACAACAGATTAGTGGCTACTGAGGCTTGGGGACAGAGTGGGGGGGATCTCAGGAGGAAGGTGGATGTGGTTACAAAAGGGCAATGGGAGGGATTTTGGGAGTGGTTTCATTTTTGACTGTGGCCTATCCTACAAGCGATAAATTGTGTAGAATTTAATACCAACACATACACAGGTAATACTGGGAAACTCTAAATCAGATGGGTTCATAGAACTGCCAGTATCCTAGTTGTCATTCTGTTCTATGATTTTGAAAATGATACCATCGAGGGAAACTGGACAAAACGCACAAGGGATCTCTTATTCCCTGGAACTGCATGTGAGTCTGCAGTTATAAAAATTCAATTAAAATGCATCAGTATACGTCTCAAGATACATAATTATGGAAGAGGAGATAATTGGAAATGGGATAGTTTCTTACTGATTCTGCAATCAAGTTACAACAAATAATCTGGAAATGAACTACTTCAAGGGTATTAATGTTATCAAAAGGCAAAAGAAGATGTAGATCCCAGAACTGGGCTAAGTAAGCTTGTTTTGGAGTTATCTTTTCAGGGTAACTTAAGTAGAAACAGCCAAGTATCATTTAAGCATAACAATGTCCTGCTTTCAGAATCAGGCAGGCTACTATGAGAAACATTGTAATGCTTATGCAGAATTTAATAAGATACATTTTGAAGGGAAATGATTATTTGATATCATTATTTAGTAACAGTAAAAAGTGATAACTCTTTCTAAAAATGTATGACTTAAAGATTGGATGACAGTCTCAGAAGTTTTAAGTAGTTAGGTCTATATAGACTACTTAAAAAAAAATTGTGGATTGCGATGAGATAAATAACTAGAAATGTCCAGCTTGACCATTTTTAGATGGCTGTCATTTAGGATGACCCAAAACTGTTGAAGTTTCGAAGTGTCAGCATGCTTTGAAAAAGATAAAATTAGTAACAGAAAGAACAAGAGAAGTGACCTTGTTAGAATGTAACTTGTGCCCTAGGTCAATTTGAACTTTCCTTTGACTTTGAAAGTCGGGGTGGGAGCAGGAGGAGTTTCCAATGTGGCAGAGAGTTGATTGTTTTAATTATCTAACCCGCTGTTAACTGCTCACAATGCTGATGAATAGCTTTTCCTAAGTAGCCCTCCTAAGTCTCCCTCTGGACTTCAGAAGGAATTGCTTGGGGAAATGACAGACACTGATGATCCGTAGCCGTCTGTTCCATCTTCACTGGCATTGGGGCAACCGTTTCCAAAACGGAATGGTCTGATCTTAGATGTCTGTTTGGTAGGTAACTGTATCTGTTTTCTAGGGGATTTAATAAACTAAGAACAGGATAGTGGGTCTCCATTTGAATCATATATTTGGTGCAAATTTTCCTCAAATGTTTGATCCGTTGGAACCTAGTAATTACGCCAGATGGAAGACAGCACTGTCCCTGGTCGTTTCACAGGCCTCAGGCAAGACTACGCTTCGACTTCAGCCTCCGTGTCGAGACACAGTTCCAGTGTGTCGCTGAATTCGGGAAAAAAGGGGACGTGTAGTGATCAAGAATATGATCGATTCAGCCTAGAGGACGAGGAGGAATTTGATCATTTGCCACCCCCTCAGCCTCGTCTGCCAAGATGTTCCCCTTTCCAAAGAGGACTTCCCCATTCACAGACTTTCTCCAGCATCCGGGAGTGTAGGAGGAACCCCAGTTCCCAGTATTTTCCTTCAAATAATTACCAGCAGCAGCAGTATTACTCACCTCAAGCCCAAACTCCAGATCAGCAACCAAACAGGACCAATGGAGGTAGGTTGTCTGTCCTGCTGGTGTTTGATGTGCTTTGATCTTTTCATATATGCTTGAGAAATGGTTTTAAGGTCAATATAAATAAAATCTGTTTAGCAGATTTATCAAGTACATCCTCAGGACCTTACCAGTTTGGTGTACATTTAAGTCTGTAGCTGACCAACTTGTGGTGACGTGTCCCAGATTTACAGATTTATAGCTTCAAGAAAACCACGGTGACGTAGCCGGCGCAGAATGGGTCAGAAGGGGGGAGCATCTTCATGTTGTTGCTGGTCCGGCTGTAGGAGAGCAGGGCTGAGTGAGTTTAGGAGTTCGTAATGGAGCTCCACGGCGTCAGAGGCACTGAGCTGCATGTTTCCTCGTGTTTCTCAAAACCCCCAGTCTCGCGCTCTCTGCTACCAGCAAGGTGATGGATGGTGAGCATGGGTGATGGTGCTTGGAGAGGATGCTGCTTGTGCGCATCCAGACTTAGGGGAAGTTTGGAATGTGTCTTCCCCTCTGATTTCCTGATGTCTAGAACTAAGATCTGCATAGCAGTAAAGTATGGAGGCTGGTATTAGGGTGATAACAGCAAGTTGATTTGTCCTGATGTCAATATGGTGGGCTGGGAATACATTGACACTCTTGTATTTTTTTCCTGTCTCCCTCTTCATCATTTATCATCCATCCTTACTCCCAGGAGTTACAGATCTTGACTTCCAAGAACTATAGGGAGAACAGTCACGTGATATTCTGAGCCTAGTATGTTTTTGCACTAATGATCAGTCTGACTTTCACACACAAATCGCATATGGTACGGCGAAACAGAGCACACTTATTATATAGTTACAGCTTTAATTATTAGATAGCACCATTTCTCAACCCTGAGCCCAGAAGTGATCAAACAAGTTACTTACTAATGTTGCAAAGCCAAATATGAATTGTACTGTCATCACCTGCTGTCATGTATTTAGTTTTTACCTTTTCTTCCTCTGTACTTATATTACTCATGCTAATTGAGAGATCATTTGAAAATATTTAAGGTTTTATAGTCAGAATTTCTTTTATAATTCCTTAAGAGTTCAAATTTAAAAGAAAACTGGTGGTTAAAGAATGTCATAGTGACTAATTCATTAAAGCTCATAATATCAGAAAGACAATTTGTTTTTTTACAGGATTGGGTAATTGGTTTTATTTATTTATTTTAAATGGAGGTACTGGGGATTGAATGAACCCAGAGTAAGCTAAGCCGTCACCACCCAGAAAGACAATATTTTATGTGCCTAATGAGAATTACAGCATTATTAAAATTGAGGGAGAGGGTACCTAGAGTTGTTTCTCTAAAGGCTTTTTTTGTCGGGTGTCTTAGACCATCACATCCTACTGGTCATGCAGATGCCAGCTCTGCGTGTTGGTTAGTATTGTTGGTCAGATCACTGTCCTTAGAAAAGTGGGATTAATTTACATTAAACAACATCATGGAAAGGATTAGGTTTCCCCGAACCTGTGTTACGATGGTGTCCTTCAGGAAAGTGGAGATGAGGCTGGAGAAGTCCACAGAACCAGTGTCCTGGAAGTCTTATCCCGGCCACGCCCAGGACCTCGGGCTTTTGGATGAAGGGGAGGGAGACTGATGGGAGGGGTTTAGGGAGTGGCCAGAAGTGTGCTTGTGCTCCAGGAAGAGTGGGACCAGCTGTATGAAGATGGGGAGGGACAGGACAGGGTGCATGGAGACTGATGAAGAGGGTTTTGTGAAAATGTGGATGATAAATAAAGATACCTGAGCCGTGTGGCAATGGGAGATTTGTTGAATATTTATGAGGCAGAATTGACAGAACTTGGCCTTGAGGGTGAAGAAGGGGAGGTGAAACTTAGGAGACTGCAGCTTTTTGGATTAGGTGACTTGGT